TTTTTTTTTGAGCTTTCTCCATTCATGCTTAAATTCTTTTCTCTATGGTACTATATAGCGGCCCTGTTGCAATAAACGAATTCAGTGCAATTGTTGATTAACAACTCTTGTCACTAATATATAACACAAATGATCAATTTGCGGCTTGTGAATTTATACAAATAGTTATGCTTAATATGTCACCAATGCGACTCTATAATTATTGTTATTTTAATGTGACTAATTTTACTATTTGTAGCTCGTGCCTACAAGATCTATCTTTTTTGATAATACCAATTATTCCAAAGATAGATCCAAAGATCGATTAAATTATTCTCTTTACAAAAAGAAACTATTTCTTTAATACAATCTTCCCATATAGCTTGCGAACTCATATAATATTCACCATTAGACTTCGGTAATAGTATATATCGATTATAATGAAGTTCAACAAGATCAATAACTTGTTTTTTAAGGTTTGATGGACAAAAAACAAATATTATGTGATTATTAGACCTTTTCCAGCAAGGATCAATGGCAGAACATTCTTGATATACAACAATCAGATCATATGAATAATTTGAAATTGGTTAGTTTGACACTACTCTTTGTTTTATTGCTCATAAAACATGCTAGGAGCATAACTATAAACATACATTTGGCCATACTTTCTGAGTTACATTTATTTCACTGAAGTCTTTATCCATCAAAATGAAAAAAAAATTTACCAATTGCCTATCTTTTAATTCACTCATCCATTGAATTAAAATTGTTATAATATCCCTGCTTTTTTTTGCAGCAATTAACAGATAGCTTATAGGAAAACCAGTTCCATCGGTCACGCCCATAATCACATATAATTCCCATTCCATTTTGTTAGTACCATAAGTTGCGTCTATTTGAATTGCATCAAAATTATTACGCGGAAGCTGATAAAAAAGTACAGTAAGAAATCCAAGAGCTGGTGTTGGAGTAGTTATATCAATAATAATTTCCTGATTATATTTATTCAATAAAAGTTTTGTTGATATAAAAGGATTAGAATTGCAATAGTACATTTTTTGGGATTCTTTTGACCACCAAAAATATGTTTGTTGAACTGTAAGATTTTCATATCCTTTGAGTTGTTTTTCTCTAATTTGTCGATGTAATTCTGAAACCAAATAATTAATATTATTTCTGATAAATTCACGAATTTCCAAAGTCGTTTCTACATGAATTAGACGTGGATGTAGCATTAAATGAAAGTATTCAATTTTGATAATGTTTAAAGATTCCAGAATTTCAATTTTAATAACGTCTTCACAATTATACCGTTCAATTTGTATAGGAGTATCTCTATGAACTTCTGGATTTGAATGTTTTATTTGACGCTTCGCCCGATCAATACGGCAATTATAATGATAGGTAACCATTAATGAATTTTTTTTTTTGATTCTTGTCTTTATAAATCCACCTATAACCATCTCCATTTTCAATAAATTTTGCTATACGACGAGCAACTTCAAGGTAAAGTTTTTCATTATTATTAAAATTTTCTTTATCCTTATCTAATATTGTAGTAATAAGAAAGAACAACTCAACATCAAAACTAATCACCAATTTGACATTATCATTTTCATAAAAGTTATTAGTATTTTCCAAGGAAATCAAAGAGTTATACACAAATTCATCAATGTCTGAGTAAGTAATTGTGGCTTCATGCCTTTGGTTGTTATTTTTAGTTAGTCAAGAGGTGGTTCGTTTATCTCTACATGATTAACACCAAATTAAGGCTTTATTATTTTTAAGAAATTCAGTAATTTCTTTGAGCATAAGACAATTATCACATGTTTTATAAGATGGAAAATCA